TGAATATTGGTTGAACTGTTGTTTCTCCCATTCCTGCCAAAACAGAAGAGAGCGGACTTTCCTGTCAGCCTTTCGGGGTTTGTGTCCAGTCATTTTTGTCCATGCCTCTTCACGGTCTTCCTTTAAAAAGACTAAGATGTAACTGAGCACTGTGAGGAAAATGCTGGTGTTTATTTCCTGGTTGTTATTGCTATTGTAAATTTAATCTTTTTAAAAATTTAAAGGTATTATTGCTGGTGTGTAGAAATGCAAATTACTTTTTTTAAAACATTTTTTAAATTTTGGAATAGTTTTAGATTTATAGAAAAGTTGCAAATATAGCACAGAGAGTTCCCATATATACAATCACCCAGATTCCCCAAATATTAGCATCTTGCATAATCACTGTACAGATTTTAAAACCAAAAAGTCAACATTGGTACATTGTCACTTAACTAAACTGCAGACTTTATTCAGATTTCCCATGTTTCACTGCTGTCCGTTTTCTACTCCAGGATTACACTGAGGTCCTACATGACATTTAATCATTGTCGCCTTAGTCTCCTCAGGTCTGGGACAGTTAGTTCTTTGCTGTTGTTTTTTTATGACCTTGACAGTTTTGAGGAGTACTTGTCAGGTATTCTGTAGAATACTCCTCAATTTGAGTCTGATTTTTTTCCTCAGGATTAGATTGGGGTTCTGCGTTTTGGGAAGAAGAGCAAGGAGGTCAAATGTCCTTCTCATTGCACCATATGAGGTAACACATGACATCAGCATGACATAACCGGTGATGTTAACCCGATCACTTGGGTTGGATGGTATCAGCCAGGTTTCTCCAATGGAAAGTTGCTGTTTTCATCCTCTATTTTTTCAAATCAATTAGTCAACATGTATTTGCGTGTTATAGGTAAAGGCCCACATTCAGCACCGAAGGAGACAAGTGAAACTCTTGAACACAGGAGGCAGTCAACATTTTGCTGTAAAATTTGCAGCTTGGGTGGGTAGGGGCTGGGAGGAGGGGGCAATAGGGAGGAAATGGGAGATATCTGTAATACTATCAACAATAAAAAATATATTTTTAAAAATTTGCGGTTCAATGGGAATCTATATCATAAAAGGCCTGTGGTTCTGACGACGTAACGGCGAAACGACCATACAACTGGTCACCAGGAGGTGCTGGAGCACCTCTTGGGCCCTCCCCCCACACACCCCCACCCCAGGGCGCTGGCAGCGCCTGCGGAGCGTGCAAGGCATCGCGGCATTGCAGGGCGGCAGACATGGCCCTGATGGCAGGCGAGGCCTAGGGGACCCTGCATACGCATGATTTAATTGTGCGCTGGGCCTCTAGTCTATAATAATTGTCTCCGTCTTTGTAGTGGTGGAAAGGCAAAAGAGCAAGTGGAGCTCAAGACGGGTAGGGGATGCACATGGTAGTTACATTCCTTTACTCAATCCTCTTTGCCTCAAAATCCACTCATTCATTCAACAAAAATAATTAAAGTGCCCACTGTGTGCCAAGTACTGTTTTAGGTACTAGGAATATGGCAGTGAATAAAACACATACAGTTCCATCTCCTCATGAAGTTATAGTTTAGTGGGGAGACAAACAAATGGGTTGAATATGCGATATGCTGAACTAGGGAAGGGAACTAGAAATTGTGCACCAGTGTGCTTGTATCAGTGGGTGGGGTGGGTTTGGGGCTGGCTTTCAATGGTGTGTAAGGGAGCGTCTCAGCCAGAAGGTGACATTTAAGTGAAGACGTGCAGAATGTGAGGGAGTGAGCCATGTGGATGTTGGGGTGACAGCAAGGCATGCAGAGGAAATGGCAATGCAAAGGCCCCCAGGTGGAATGCCTGATATGTTCAAGGAACAGTGAGGAGGCTGGTGAGAACGGGGAAGAGAGGTAGGAGACGAGGTCTGAGAGTTCAGAAGTTGTGGAGTGCAGAATGAGTCGTTTTGTAGTTCAAGGAAAGGACTTTAGTCCTTGGCTCTGTTCAAGTTAGGAAGCCACCCAAAGAATTTCCCCCAAAGGAGTGACCGCAGACTGTTGGGAGGAGGGACAAAGGTGGAAACAGAAGACTAGGAGAGAAATGTGGTAGTTTAGACCGTATAGTGAAGGGATGGGAAGGAGTTAGATTCTGGGTAAAGGATTCAAGATGGAGAGCAAGATAAAAAGAGATGAAAGAAAACCTCTCTGAATTTATAGTAGTAAAATGTAATTATCCTCATTTTTTAAAAAAACCACTTTACAACAACAAAAAGATAAATGGAATTAAAAATGGGTAAAGGACTTGACTAGACAATTCTCCAAAGAAGATACACAAATGGCCAACAGGCATATGAAAAGGTGCTCAACATCACTAATCACTAGGACAATGCAAATCAAAACCTCACACCCATTAGAATGGCTACTAAAAAATACAGAAAATAAATGTTGGTGAAGATGTGAAGAAATTAGAACCCTGTGCACTGTTTGTGGAACGTAAAATGGTGCAGACATTGTGGAAAACAGTATAGAGGTTCTTCAAAAACATTAAAACTAGAATTACTACACGATCCAGCATTTCCATTTCTGGGTATATATCCAAAAGAATTTAACCAGTTAACTGCCACGATACTTTGAATTTAATTTAAAAAGGTCTGCCGCTGCGTCTATAGCAGTGATGGTGAACCTTTTGAGCTCGGCCTGTCAGCATTTTGAAAAACCCTAACTTAACTCTGGTGCCGTGTCACATATAGAAATGTTTTGATATTTGCAACCATAGTAAAACAGACTTATATTTTTGATATTTATTTTATATGTTTAAATGCCATTTAACAAAGAAAAGTCAACCAAAAAAATGAGTTCGTGTGTCACCTCTGACACGCGTGTCACCTCTGACACACGTGCCATAGGTTCGCCATCACTGGTCTATAGCCACTTATGGCGTACAAATGGTTAAAGTATAAATTGAGTTGTTTTCCCCATAGTACTATGAATAAAAAGGCTGTTTAAACAAGTCATAGGTCCGTAGGAAATCTCTAGTTTTGTGGTCTATTTTCTCTAGTAATAGGAAATGAACTTTCGATAAAAAGTACATGGGGACTTTGAGCAACTGGTTTATTCTTCATAGAACTGAAGTGCAGGTGGAAAGGGGCAATTCCTAGAATGTCTGGAGGATCTGAGTAAATGAATTTCTACCTAAGCTCTTTATTAACTTACAATAACTGAAAAGAGATCATCTGTCTCCTACAATGGACTTTCAAATTAAATATAAGAGAAACTCAGGCAGAGAAAATGAATGCAGAAAAAATTTTTGGTATTATATTGCAGCTAACCAACATTTAAAATATTCTCTCTCTTGCATTTATTACCTGACTGTTGGAGAGGGAAAATGACATTCTTCCCGCACCAGTTTATACAGAATCCAGACCCCAAAGTAAAGCGATATGTGCACCTTCATTAGAAAGAGAGAAAGGACAGACCTACAGTATGCACTTTTTAAACCAATGTCTCTATGGGCACCTTAGGGCAACAAAATTACGCATTTTAAAACCTGAGGTTAACAAGGCGCTTAAAAATAACCAGGGTTATGGCTACTGCCTGTGATCGAACCGATCACGTACACATTGCTACCCACTTGACAATTCTGGGACTAGACTGGGTAGTTTTTGCAACGGTTTCACAAGAGACGATGATGCCACTACTGCACTTGTCTCCAGGCAGTTAAAACTCTGGATTTCTTTACAAGTTGCTTTTGAACGGGGAGCTGTTTGCTCTTTCTGGGCCGTCGTGGGGTAAAGAACCTCCCTGGAAGAAAAAGTCAAGTGCGCTTTGCTAACGTGGGAGAGTTGTCGAGCCTCTGGATCAGTGAATTGGAAGAAGGAAAAGGGAAAGACAACTATTTTTTTATTTTTATTATTTTTTTTTAGTTCTTGCCTTGCTCTTGCTGGATTGGTGCACAAGCCCCCAAGAAGTAAGGAGCCAGGAGAGCAGCAGTTCCGGCTCTCCGAGGCGTCCTTAAAGGCAAACCGTGCGCAATAGCCCGCCCTCATCGGTTTCTCCTCCTCCGTCTGTTAGGCGCCGTATCTAACGAGGATCGGGGAAGAACAGCCGTCACGCAGTCACCGCCGGCGGTCCCTGGGCGTCTGCGGCCTCGCGAGTGGGCGGGGCCATCCGACCCTCCGGGCCCCGCCC